TATACAATTGTTGTGAGTCAGGACGATGTTGCAATGCACTATTGTCAGGATGGTCAACAAGTATAAAATGTTTGCCACGTACAACTAAACCAGTATTGTAGGCCGTTTCATTTAATGGCTCACCAACATCCTGTGAATCATCATATAACAATCGACGATCTGAAATTGTGCACAGAATTATTTCATGTATTACTTTGGATGTATAACGAGTGTACTTGAATACATAATTCACAACAACCAAAAAAATATAATTTGACCGATAATTTCAGCTCAGCTCCTTATGATACTTACGAATCATAGTTTCAACTGACGAGATCAATTTTTTGAAAATATCCATGTTTTCAGAAAAGAGCCTTATTTTATAAATTCAATATCTCGGAGATGCAATGTCCAAAAATTCTGAAATTTTTTCAACAAGGTAGTCTGAATGAGACCTTCATGTGGGCAAAGTTTCAGGTCGAAATTCGAAAATATGATTTTCCTGGAAACCTGGGGTCCTATAGGAAAAATCTACTAAAAATTCGATATCTCGGGAACAAAGGCACGAGGGGATGAATCCTTCCGCGAAGTGTCTCGAACCCTGAGCGGGGCTGGTGTAGGTTTGAGAATTTTTTTTCGACAAATTATGTCCATTTTGTTCAAGACACTATCTTTTTGACTTTTTGATATACACTTCTAGCTGATAAATTCGCGGAATAGTTGATTGAAGTGCCTTCGCGAAAGGGACACGAGACGATGAAATAAATGGCCGGATACGCGAATTAGTTTTTTGTTTGATACATCCATATCGACTAGACCCATAAGCTGTCGTCCGCTTTTTTTAAGAAAGAAAAAAAAACAAATCTTTTCTCTCTGTGTCACCTCTAAATTACGAAAGAAGATAAGTGTTGGAAAGAAACAAAGGAATAAACTAGAGGCGTGATTCACCATACAGAGTTCACACCTGTAGCCTGCAGGTAAAACAAAATGAGAACGATATTACTCAGTTACGTAAGAAGCAACTCATATTTTATTCACAACAAATCGCATTAAACTAAATATCTCGTCTAGAACAGGGATAGATCGTTTGTATTCGAAAGGTAAACAAATTTCATAAGGTGTCTAGGCGGAAAAAGTTTTTTCATCGTTGGAACGAACCAGTGGCACAAGTCTAAACCACGTATATACGTGGCAACGTGATACAGCTAGAATTTGTCTCCCCTCAACCCATCGTTAACAGGCCCGCCCCGTCACTAATTGTAAGACGGTTTGTCTGTTTTTTGAAAAGGAAAAAGAGATTAGGCAATGAGGACATACACGTCAGCCATTGATGATCAATTGTGAAAAAATCCATTGAAGGATATGACATTTTTACTTCAGAACAAGGCTCACAAAGAACGTGAAGAACCTGTACTATTCGAACCTCAACACATTTGCCTTATGCAGCAGTGAGAGAGAGAGAGACAGACGAAAGAAAAAGAGCAAAAAGAAAGAAAAAGAGGAAACGGTTTCACGTACTATCATTTAACCATGACTCTCTTCCGTCGAAGCGACTCGAGTTGTATAAGGGTGACTTTACAACTCGCTTTTCCATGATTTTTGTAGGCTGGCACAGTGACGGAACGAGGATTTTTTTACAAAAGGGGGGCTTAGTCCCATTTGTTAAAACAGCAGAATAGGTGGTGAGAATTTTAAATTCAGCGCCAGAAAAGTAGTCAAGAAATGATAAGGCAGAATGAAAATGACGGTAACAGAGTAGAGAACAATGTAAAGCCAAAATCTTCGTAGAAGTAGTATGAGTATTTTGCATTCAAAAGGGATGCTGTGAGTTTCTGAAATGTGAAACATACTCCAAGGTCAAGTGCGGGGAACATTATAGGAACAAAAGACGGATAAAATATACGCAGCGCGACAATCACTCTCTCGTTCTTTCTTCTAGTTTTTTACCCCAACAAACGTGAAGTGAGAGGCACTTCAGAAAGTTCCACGAACGGGCGAACTGATTCTATGGTCAGAGCTCTCTTGAATGAACAAGTTTCTTCTTAATTCGAGTCCAGAGGAGCTTGATGCTATAGTGAGAATCGAGGTTTTCTAAACAAAAGGGTCTCTATTATGCCATTAAAGGCTCTTTGCGCTCTTCTGTTTTTTTGAAGACCATCCACGCATTACTCACCCAAACTTACCCAAAAAATGAAGTTGCGGTTCTAGAGCAAGCCGTCCGTGAATGAGTTCTAACCACCATCAAAGTAACGAAGAGTTGCAAGTTTGTGGCATTTTTCGTGACAACCACTGCAGTGTTAAAAGACTTAGGCTTTTGCTCTACAAATGAATTGCGCCGTCGAGCTATATTGCAAGAATCCACGCTATTTTTTATTGATCTTGAAAATGATGATAAACAGTCATAGGCCCGACCTTGTCGAGAGAAGAACGAGCTAGTATTGACTTGCTGTACATCCTCAAAAAGATTCAGAAAGCATAGCATTCGGAATACGCTCAAAATATGCTTCCGTGTGCGAAGAGGTGGCAGCCGGAGAACGAACACTGATTCTCTAAACATCTGTGCATTTAGTGATTAGAGTGTCCATCTCATCTACTGAGCGAATTTACTCTTTTTTCTCGTTCTTTGCCCAGTGATGCTTATATCTCTTCCTCGTTATCGCGTGATGCATCTCTTTACCGCTTGCACGTTTCTTTCTTTCAACCCAGGTGAAAACGACACCATCTATCATGGCAAGCAGCACATATCCCATCAAGAATATTGCCATCACTGGCGCCTTGGGTAATTTGGGCACAAAACTCTTGCGCCATTTGGCCTCTCTTCCCGGCGTGGAACGACTTGTTGGTCTCGATATACGACCTTGTCCATCGGATCATGTTGTTAAGCTACTCGATCGAATATCCACACCACCTACACTTGAGTTCATCCAATGCAACGTCGCCGATTATCAGGACATACGCTGGCGTGAGGTGATCGCCACCCAGGTCGATGCGGTCGTTCATTTTGCAGCAGATAATCCTTATCCCGAGGCAACGTGGGCAGAGGCAGCCACCTCACTCGACATGACTTTGAATGTTGCCCTGGCATCTGCCGATAGCGAGTCCCGTGTGCGCCGGGTGGTTTTTGCTACTTCCAATCATGTGATGGGTCGTTACAAAGACCCACCACTGACCGAACAAATTGGCGTCGGCGAACTAACACCTGCGTTGCCACCAGGCGTAGGCGCCGTGTGGCACACAGGTGAAAAGTCCATGGACTCCACGCCCTATGCCACGGCCAAACTAATGGGTGAACGTGTCTGTTGTACTGCGGCGTTGCGCTCCGGTGGTCGTACGACTTTTGTCTGTATTCGTATTGGATGGTGCCAACCGGGAGAAAATCTTCCTTCGACGCTCTCTGCAGCCGGTACACCGACGCAACAAAGTAAGGAAGAAGAAGGGCAGCGCGATGAAGCTTTTGCTCGTGCCGATCAATGGTGGAAAAAGATGTGGCTGTCGAACCGTGATTTTACGCAAATCTTCGAACACGCACTTTTTGTTGGCGATGATGAAGGAGGAAAGAATTGGTGGCAGAATGGATTTCTTCTGGTCAATGGCATGTCGAATAATCCCGGCATGAAATGGAGCCTGGTCGAGGCACGAGAATCTTTAGGATATGAACCTGTGGATGGATTTAGCTCGTGAGATCTTTTTTTCTCGTACTGCTTGATTCCTCTTTTCATGAATAGCTGATTTTAACACTCAGAAATTTTGAGTTTTTTGAAATTTGAAATTTTGATTTTTCATTTTGACACTCAGAGAGAGTGACGGAAAGGGGCGATATTTCTTAAAATTTTGTCATTGAGGTGAGTGGCAAATACAGGGCTGCACCACCTTTCCTTTACGACATAGAAAAAGACTTTTTCCCGTTTCCCACTCACCTTGCGATGGGACATAGTTTATCATCGTATGATCCAGCTATCTTTCCCATAAGCACTTTCTCGACGGCGAGTATAGGTAATTTGGTCTCTCATACTGCACAAAAAATATGAACAAATTAATGTCTCTATTCGTGGCCATTGCTGTTCCTTCTACTTTATTAATCTTTATACCACAGCACGCTAAAGCTGCATGCGGCTGTAATGAATGGTGCTCGGATCATCAGTGGGAAACTCGGTGTACCGTCTCAGCAACTTCGTATTTTCTCCCGGATAACTCGGTGTCTCGTCACAAGAATTTCATCTCTTCTCCTGCAAAACGCGGTGTCTCTGCACAACAACTTCATATTTTCTATAGGACAACTCAGTGTCTCTTCACGAGAACTGGATACTTTCTGCTGGAATACTCGGTGTCTATAAACAAGAACTTCATACTTTCTCCTGGACGAGTGGCTGCCTCGTCGCAAGAACTTCATGTTCTCCCGTGGACAACTCGGTGTCTCTTCACAAAAACTCCATATTTTCAAAAAAAATAGTTTTCGAGAAAAAACACATTTTGTACATCGGTCACTTGGATCAGAACATTCGCCGCGATGCTTATATCTCCACGAAAACTCATCGAAAAATTCTGTAAAACATCTCATTGTGAAGAAAACGCTTTCTTCTATCAGGCTATGTGTAAGAAAAATTTTACATGTACAGAAAATGAGAGAAACGTTTATGAAACTAAAAAATTGAGTTTTTTAAGGTTTTAAAGGAAAAACTTCAAAAATTCATAACTTTTTTGAAGAAAGGTCGTGGAGTACTGGGAGTGGTCTTATTTTGTATCCTACACTTTCCTCTACATTAGGCTATACTTAGCTCAAAATCCAAAATTCTTACAGAAAAGAGGGGATAGGTTACCCTTAACACAAAAAGCTGGATAGGTTAATAAAATTGCATGTCTGAATTTGTCGGATTGTGGATTAGAACATTTCTCATGGACAGACTTTTGATTCTACAGTCGATCAAATGCTATTATTATGTACAGTTTTCAACGTTGAATCAGAAAAAGATAGTTTATAAAGTCTGGAAGAAAAAACTGAGTGAAAATTTGAATTTTCCTAAAGTTTGGTCAGTTTTTGATTTTTTGCGCAGTGTCGAGTTTTCGACATGAAAACAATTTTGGAAACTTTAAAAAGTATATTTTTTTAATCAGCTCAACGAGCTCGATCGAATGATGTATGATATGTTGAAAAACAAAATGTTGCTGAACTTTTGCATTACGCGCATGTTAGTCTGAAAATTTTTCGTAGATATCAAAGAAATACGATCATGAGTGTACGTTTCGCTACGTTGTTAGCCTCGTGTTTTAATAAACATACTTGTTGAACTAGTCATGCTAGTAGTGCTGGTAGTAGTCGTTGTAGTAGTTGAAGCTAAAATTAAAGACTAACACCGAGGTTTTGAATAAGTAATGAATGCAGCGTCAATGTAACATGTCTCAGAATTGGCTGATTTTTAGATATATAGTAGAATAAGTTAAATTGAGTATAATCTGAAGACATTAGACCTTGATCCCGAGGTCGTGCACAATTTCAGCACAATTTCAGAACTCATTTTTCTGGAACTTTTTTGTTTTGCTAGGTATGTTAGATATCTTAGGTAGCTAGGGTATCCATGTAGATACCTAAGATACCCTAGGGTATCTAGGGTATCTTACGAAATTAGGGTATCGTGCAATTATTTCTCGAGCTCACTCTCAACCTCACCTCTCCCCTCTCCTGCCGCATACGAATAACTTTGTACATGTCTCTGGTATATATATATAGAATATAATTCGCCGCGAACTCAAAATGTGACTGCTATATTTGAGTTCGTAGCGAACTGATATTGTGCATGGTATGTTGATCCCCTATGTACTTTGACAAGTCATGATATGTAAATGATACGGTACTCAAAAATGTAAAAATAAGGCTTATTTTTCTAACAAGATGGTTTTGGAAAAATTACTGTATAAGATAAATAGAGAAATAAATAGCGCATAGAGAAATGATGAAAAATTTTTTTTCCGATCGAAACCAGAAACACGTAATCAACCCATGTCCTGCAGAAAGTTTATATCTGCACAAGATCTAGCAAGTTTTTTTTATCTCAAAAATATTCAACAATTCTTGTCAAGATCTTATCAAGCTTTTTTGAGGAATCTGCCTGCAAAAATCTTGTTCAAAATCTTGACAAGATTTAAAAACTTTTCATAAGTAACAAAATCTTTGCTGACAAAGAAAGTTAGCAATAATTTTGATTACGACATGACTCAGAGATTCGACAAAAATGTAAATATGCCAACTTTGCATTTATTTATAGTTATTGTAGTACTACAGTGTAGTGGTCGGTGACTTACTAGAAGCGATCAGCTGATCGTTCTAACATGGTAATGCATTTTGACTTTTGTTGAAAACTATTATGCTCGAATCCGCAAGATTTTTATGCCAAAATATTAACCATAAGAAGAAACGAAAAAGGCTAAAATATTTTCTACATTCCTACTAATTTTCTTTAATCCCATTCAAATGCGTACACCGCACATTACATAGAGGTACCCGCCATGTTTTCATTGGTCGACTACTTGTTTTTCTGTTCGGAGTCGACTCCGACAGTGGACTAGAAAGTGAAAATGACTTTTAGCTTATTTCATATGTGCATTCTCGGACCTGCTTGTCGGAGTCGACTCCGACAAGCAGGTCCGAGAATGCACATATAAAATGAGCTGAAAGTCATTTATCTTAGTATTTTTCTTCTATTTCATAGGTTGTGTATTTTTGTATACTTATTTTTTACTGACAACCCACAGGTTTTTTGTGTTTCTGCGGTAGCATAGGTAAAATGATAGCTGTTTTGAAACCGCGTATAACGTTTTTCTTCATCGATACAATACACGACAACAACATAAAAGTAATTAATCGTAAAGCTACTGTTTCAATAAAAAATGTTAAATTAGTAAAGCAATTACTATATGTTACAATTAGCTGGATACTGGGATACATGAAACGCAATTTTTGACAGTCTCGCTTTATCGGTTAAGTAAATTGCATCGAAACATTGAGCGCTACAGTGTGTAAAAATACATTCTGGTGAGCAGCCAGGATAAGTACGATAATAGAGTGTTGTAGTAGTGACCGATTGTTCTAATGGAGACATTGCAGAATTCTGACTTTTCTGTCTCTGATTTAGAAAAGAAGACTTTTCTCAGCAACGAGACAAAATTTTAAGAAAAGGGATGCATACTTTTAAATTCGAGGTTTCAGCGAATAACCTCGAAATCGATCAGACACCATTTTTATATTGAGTTAACGCTGATCACGAAAAGCATAGTTTCAAACTTTCAAACTGAACCGGGACTGAGTTATTCAGTTTTTGAAAAAGTTGGACATTTTACAAAATTTCAAAATTTTTACCCTCAGAAAAAGATTTTCAAAACTTAAAACTTTTTGTTTCTCATCTCGGTGTCCTCAATGCAACCATGCATAAATATATCAAAATGATAAAGTTGCTGAAAGTTCGAATTATGGATGCCTTAGGTTTTATACTACAAGTCATAAATCCAACGCAAATATTTGTTGTTTACTAGGAAAAAGTAGTCATTATTTTTATTGTGAGGTTTCATCTTTGAGAAGTACAATGGATGTGAAAAAACGAATGAGTGACATTAGAGACAAATGCTGACTGGATTCGTGAACTGATATACTTTTTTTATACCTAAGAAATAATGTGTTAATCAAAAAAGTTCAGTTAAGGAAAAAATGAGAATAAATGATGCACTTTTTTATGCTGATTGATTCAAAAGAACATCATACTTATCTTATGGTTAATTTACTCATGTCGCTTACGAATATCTTAAGCCTCCCCCCTCAGAAATTATTTCCAACACCGTACATCCGATCTTGACGAAGCTTTCCATAAATGTTGGGCACAATGAGTTACCGGAATGAAAAACTGTTTTTGTTCCAAGTCTTACGGTTTAGGAGTTTTCCAGAGATCAAGGTCCAAAAAGGACCCTGAAGTGTGTGAGGTTCTACTCACTCACTTCTCTCTTTATTTAAGAAAGTGAACGGCTATATATAGTACACAAGTTGAACAACAGTTATGCAAGAGTTGCGCATGAGTTACATAAGAACAGAAATAGTTTAGGAAAATCCCATTATGAAGCAAGAGTTG